ATAGTTGTATGTCATAGGTTCACATCCTTCTAGTTGCTGTACGTGGGACTCGGCCTCGCGTTGGACGGAGAAGTGGTGCCTCGGGGCGCGCCCGGGATCCGAACCCGGGCCGCCAGCATCAGAGCGCGCGCACTCAACCGCTAAGCCACAGAGCCGGCCCACGATTTTCTTAATATCTTCTCTGTGCTAACACTTTCTAAACATTTTCAAGCCCCCCTATCTTAAAGGAAAAGAAATTTCAGACCTCCCTTGACTATGTGTTTTCATCTATCTACCACCATCTCTCTCTATTTGCCTACACAGCCCAAACTCCTAGGAAAAATAGTCTCCTTCTCCCCTCCCACTTACTCTTCAACACATTGTAATCCTATTGCAGCTTGACCTCTGGCCTCTATTGTCTACTGAAACTGCTGTGGCCAAGACCCCTGATGACCCCCTAATTGCCAAATCCAATGTTCTTTCAATCTTCATCTTTTCTAACACTTCCTTGGCATATGACACTGTTAATACTTTTCTTCTTCTGGAAATTCCTTTTATGGCTTCTTATGAGCTCTATGCCTATTCTTTTTCCATTTTACTTTCCACCTCTCATTGGTATTCCTGTGTTTGCCTCAAGGCAATCGCATTCTTTTCACGGCTTCAAATCCTCCCCATGTGTTGATAACTCCCAAGTCTCTTTCTCCAGCTCGAGATGGAGAAGTTCAGTTATCTCCTGGACATTTCCACCAGGATATTGATTTGCTCACAATTCTGTGGGGAGCAATTTGGGCTGGGCTCAGGTGGCCAGTTCTGCTGACCTCAATGGAATTCACTCATGTGGCTGCAGTCACCTGGTGGTTCATCAGGGCTCAATGGTTTTAAAATTGCCTCCCTCACGTATCTGGTGATTGGTGCTGGCTCCTGGCTGGGGCACTTCAGTTCTCCTCCACAGAGCTCACCAGGTTTATGCGTGTCATTGTCTCAACGTTCCAACTGCAGCCAAAGGAGAGCAAGCCTCAACACGCAAGTGATTTTCAGGCCTCTGCTTGGGTCACCCTTGCTAATTTCTCGTTGGGCAAAGCAAGTCACACAGCCAAGCCCCGATTCAAGGGGTGGAGAAATTATTCTACTTCTCCATGGCAGGAGCAGCAAAGTCACACAGCAAAGGGTCGTGAATACGATGACGGGAGGAATTATTGCAATAGACAGTCTGCTACTATGTTCTTCCCATTCCAAATGTGTTTCTTCTCATGTCTTTCCTATCTTAGGGAATGGTGCCAGTGTTTCCCCAATCACTCAAGCCAGTCATTCTAGTCTACTCCCTCCTTCCTTGCAGCAGATACTGTAGGTTAAAGGACTTAATATGAATTCCCAACCTTTTTCTCTACTATGGAGATATTGATGAGAAACACTTTCTCATACTACTTTGTGGTTATAAATGATCATGCGATGCAGCTCGATAAGCAGAAGTCTGTGAGTGGTTTTCCAAAAACCTTTTCCATCTTATTAAAAGAAACAGACCCTATCTTTCTTATTTCCTCCTTCTGTCACTGAACACAGACAAGATATCTGGAGCTGCAGCAGCCATCTTGTGAACATGAGGTGACAAACATTAAGGAAAGGCCAAGAGAATCACAGAGACACCATCTTTGATATTATTGAATCACTGACCCAAAGGCAGCAGTTGCCCTGGTCTAGACTTCTCCTTATGGGAGAAAAATAAACTCCTCTTTGTTTAAGCCACTCTAAATTGGGATTTTTTGGTTACTTGCAGTCAAAAGAATTCCCAACACACCTTCATTCTCTTATCCAATCAGCCATCACATCCTGTAAACTCTACCTCCTGAGGTTTTTCTCACATGTGCTTCCTTCATTCTATCCGTGCTGCCTCTGCCTTAGTTCACATCCCCTTGGAGCTACCTCAGTAACCTCCCAACTGGCTTCCCTGCCTCTATTCTTTTCTTCAACCTAACCCTATTTATTGCCAGAACTTGAATCATTCAGAGGTTCCCAATTTCGCCTCCTGTAAAGTCTTAATTACTTAAAATGGCCTCCAATGATTTTCTTGATCTGCCCCGTCCATACCTCCACATGATTCACTAGGTGTAGGGTGGAGCCCAAAAATTGGTATTTCTAACAAGCTGAAATCATCTCTGATGATGCTGATGCTGCCAGTAGTGGGCAAATCACTTTGTGAGTAGCACTGGTACAGAGTTCTTTTCCTTCAGAGCATTTGCCTCAGTTTGTATGATAGATTCCTTTGCTCCTTAATTCAGTAGTTCTCAAATATTAGTGTGCATCAGAATCCCCTGGAGGGCTTGTTAAAACACAGAAAGCTGGCTTCCACCCCCAGAGTTTCTGATTCAGTAGGTTTAGGGTGGGGCCTAAGAATTTGCATTTCTAACAAGTTCTGAGATGATGCTGATGCTGCCTGTCTGGGCTACACTGTAAGAACCACTGTCTTAATATTGGGTTTCTCAACCTTGGCACCGTTGACATCTTGGGCTAGTCAATTCTTTACTATGGAGGGTTCTTATGGGATATTTAACAGCATTCCTGGCCTCTACTCACTAGATGCCAGTAGCAAGCTCTCTGGTTGTGACCAAACTGTCTCCAGACATTCCCAAGTGTCCCCTAGGAGATAAAATCATCCCTAGCTGAGAACCACTATCTTGGAGTGACTATTTGATCTTTATCCATCTCTTCTTTAATCTCTAAGTTTCAAAAAGGCAGGAGACTGTTTTTGTATTCCCGATGCCTAAGGTAGGTACTCAACAGATATTTGTTCAACAAATGAATCTAGTTCCAACAGAGTTTAAGGCCCTTTAATGCTTCCTTCTCCAATCCCTTTCTTGCATCCTCTCTCCCATCACCAAAAAGCATGAAAAGAAATCTTCCTGCTGCCACCCTACACTGAACAGCAAGAAGAGGATTCCAGGTTTCTATGACCGGGAACATAAGGGCTGGAGACATTCTCCAGTCTCAGACCTTTGTTTAGAGGAGCTGGTCGATTATATTGATTATATTGATTGTCCCGGAGAGGGAAGAGAAAGAGTTTTCCTTTTTCCAGGATAAGGTGGAGGGTTATGGATTCCCTACCCTGGACAGACTCACCCCCACTGTCCCACTGGGAGGAGAAGAGGAGGTGGATCCAGCGCTTGGCCCTGCAAGATTTCCCGGAGGTGACACGACCTCAACAGGAGACATTTACTTGGATGGACGTCTATGGAGGTGGGAGTGGCAGTGGGATCTCGGTGACCAAGCCTGGGGTCACTGAGCTGCTCTATGGCCCACCCAAAGTGTCAGAGCCCAATAGGTAATGACTGCGTCCAGTCTTTTTTTCTGTCTTTTTATAATACATCTGTGCCTTAGCAGTGACATTCTGGAAATAATATCTTAAGAAAAAGCACAATTCAATAACGAGAATTTTATGAACCAGGGAGGGTGGTGGAAAGAGGATACTTTTGATCAGGGTACTGCTGCTCTTCAATACCAGCATCATACGGGGAGCTGCCTGGAACACCCACAAATTCAGGTGGCCCAATAATAAAGACAGGGAGGCTGATGATTCAGAACACCGGCAGGCAGCCAGTAGGAGTTAGGGAGCTTGCAGAATTGGTGTCACAGTCTGTTCCTGCTCATGCATATCTGACTTCCTCCAATGCCACTTATCTCTAAATCTGGGGCAGCTTGGTGAGCTTGCACTGCTCCAGCTAGAGCAATTAGGGAATAAATTGTTCCATTCTGGGTTGTTTTGGACCACAAACACCTTGCTCTATGTGCCAGCCAGGTCTTCGGGCCAGGTTTTGTGGATGCCAGAGGGTAGTTGAAGACTTGTTCATTCACCTGTGAGGAGATTAACAATCATTGCGCTTTCAGGGCAGTGAGAAGGAAATTCGCACAAAAAGTGCAGTGGAACAGAACTTTTTGGCTTCCTGAGAGTGTGAGTGTAATTTTATGATCCTTTTCAGGATTAATTGGCTCTTTGATAGTATGTTACGTAAATTACTTGAGCTAGCTTGAGAGATGAGGGGGAATTTATACCTGCATGATACCTATATTGGCATAACTCAGACCAGGAGCTGGATGTAGGAGGGAGACTGGAACAGGAAGTCACCCCTCTTCTCTGATTCTCTGGCCCATCCTCCTCTCCTCTGCCTCTCTCTGTGTCTCCCCTGCACATCCTCCAACACCCTGCCCCATCCTGCACACTGGCGTTCTCTGCTTCTCCTACCAATGGTACACTACGACCTTGCAAAGCTCCTGAGTGCACATGTGAGAGCCCCAGCCTCCCCAGACCCTGACCAATGTCCTCTCTGTTCCAACAGGAGATCCCAGGGAAAGAGAGTCTGATGGGTGCGGGTTGGGTCCAGACACTTAAGGGTAGTACCAGCAAGGCTGAAGGGCTCATCCAAAAGATGGAGGCAGTTCCCAGATACCATCTGTCTTAGATTGGATTCCCCCAGACACAGACCTTGAATGAAGGATTCCAGTACTAGCTTATTCAGGAAGAACCTGGAAAAACATATACTCCCACCTCATCCTTCTTTCTCCCTTTGGTTACCTTCTGGGGCTTTCTGTATGCCAAACTCTCAAGCCAGAATGTAAAGTCCAGGGAGCCTATTGAATTGGCCTATGTTAGGGCAGCCTTCCAGGGCACAGAACAGGGTGGAGAAGAGTAGCAAGTAAATCTGAAGGGGCAAATGGAAGACATGATTCGGACATTTCTCAAGAGAATCTTGTTACTATATACCCTAACACAGATATGAAAAAAATAAATTATTTCATCTTTTAGTTGTAGGGAATTGTAGCATTTAGCCATGCCCAATTTCACAGTATGACTCATGAGGTTTGAATAGTGTATCAACACTTGGCGTTCATCACTGCTTCATACAACCTGGGGTCAGACGCGTCAATAAATTCCTGGACAAGTTTTAAGCATATTTTGATTTACAAAAATATGGTCCAGGCCTGTCATAATAAACTTAACCAGTTCAAGTGTCAAATGTAATATGTTTATATTGTTCTCCATGGGAGTAGTTATGTCCTAAGCAAAAGAAATTTGACTTTAGAACAGTGATCTCGGATTTTGTTCTTTACATCTTCATGTGTTACTTCCAGAAGTCACTGTCCAGGGCTTCATTTAAACTCCTGTCACACTGATCCAATTGCAATCCACAAAGATTTGTAGAAATAATTCTTCCCCAAACAGCTTTCACCAAAAAGCCTCGTGTAGTTTCTGAAACAAACAACAACAACAACAAAAATAAGTTGTTTGTATTAGTTTCCTATTGCTGCTGTAACAAATTATCCCAAACTTAGTGGCTTAAAACAAAACAAATTTATTATCTTACAGTTTTGGATGTCAGAAGTCTAAAATGGGTCAACAGGAGTGGTTTCCTTCTGGAGCCTCTAGGGAAGAATCTGTTTCCTCACGTCTTTCAGCTTCAAGAGGCTGCCTGCCTGCATTTCTTGGCTAGTGGTCCCTTGCTCCACCATCAAAGCCAGCAGTGTATCATCTTCAAGTTTCTCTCTCTCTCTCTCCTCTTCTTCCGTCATCATCTCTCCTTCCCTGACTCTGACCCTCCTGCCTCCTGTTACAAGGACCCTTGTGATTACATTGGTCACACCCAGATAATCCAGGATAATCTCTCCATCTCAAGATCTTTCATTTAATCACCTCTGCAAAATCCTTTTTGTCACGTAAGGTAGTATATTCAGAGGTTTCAGGGATAAGGACACAGATATCCTTGAGGCACCACAATTCTGCCTACCACATTGTTATTAGGGGCATTCCCTTGATACCACGATCTATAAACACCCCAAACTAATAAAAAAGAAGGAGCTCTATCACTCTACACATTTTCGGGTGACGGTAGGAACCCACTGTAGGGTTCAAGGGAGACTCTCAAGTCCACCAGCGGAAATTACAGGAAACACAGTGGGGTGCAAGATCATTGTCTCCCAGCAATTCACCAAAGGTACTTGCCTTTTTGGAGTTGAGACTGAATTTGGGATAGGGTTGGGTGCCAGAGAAAGCAGGACAAGAAAAACGAGGAGAAAAAATTGGGGAAAAGAATTCTCTTTGGGCTAGCTGCAAAGAGTGGTTGCATTGAGCCTTCTAAACATAAAATTTCGTTCTGTAAAGGAAAAAAGGATGTTAGGTATTAGTGCTACATTAAACCCAAGGATTCATTTGTGAGTTTGGGGCTGATTCTCCAGAGAAAATTCCCACTTCATTAGTACTTAGCTTTGCCAAATTTGGTTTTTCCCAAGCTTTTCCTCCAGGACGCTGTTGATCTGATCGCGCTTCATCTCCTACTCACCGTAACCTCTCTTTGTTAGATTTACTATATTCTCAGGTTGCAAGGAGGACCTATTATTATCAAAGTATGTATACTTACAAATAATTCTCACTTTCTCTATCTTGACTGTGTGTTAATAAACAATGAGGTTTTTTTTTCTCCATCACCAATCTACAGAGAAAAGGATATTAATTAATTTTGTTCAAACAAAGCAAATAGATTCAAAGATGAGATATTTTTATCCTCTACACTACCATATGAGAAAAATTTAAGTATTTTATACCCAATATGGCATCTTGTATTTTCCAAAGATAGCTACAATAATATCTCCCTTCCTCTGTTCTTATAATGTAACTGACACTCCTCTCATCCTCTCTTCAAGAGGTGCAGCCTGTATCCCCTCCCCTTTAATCTGGGTGGGCTTGTGACTATGGTGGAAGTGACACTATGTGACTTCCAAGGCTAAATCATAAAAGACAGCACAGCTTCATCCAGGTGCTCCTGGGATACTCACTCTTAGAACCCAGCCACCTTGTGAGGAAGCCCAAGCAGAGATGCGGAGGGGCCATGTGTTAGTGTTCCAGCAAACAGCCCGGCTGACACTCAGCCAACAGCCAGCACGCACTGCCAGACTTGTGAGTAAGCAAGCCTTCAGGCGATGTCAGGCTCAAGCTGTCAAGCCACTCCCTGCCGTTGGGGTCTTCTCAGAGCAGGTCCCAGGCATTGCGGAGCAGAGACAAGATGTCCTCACTGTGCCCTTTCTGAATTCCTGCCCCACTGGATACGTAATCACAAAAAAATGCTTGTTGTTTTATGCTACTAATCTAGGAGGAGCATGTGTTGCAGCAACAGTAACTGGAACACTCAGGTAGATGTAAATGTAGAAAGACATGTTCTCACCAGCAAACACGGTAACTTGAACGAGATGCCTAATCTTACCATTTTTTCCCCAGCTTGTTTCTTAAGAATAACAAATGTTTCAACCCCATTAATCTAATCCAGAGATGGCCTTTTTTTCCTCCTCCAATACAATTCGTCTTTCCCAAACAATTCATGTGGCCAGAGCTCAGTGCTTTAGAGAATTCATGAAACCTCATAGATCCTGGAAACAAATCCCATTTAAAGGGACAGATTTAGTCTTTTTCTTAAAATTTATTTTTGTAAAATCTGGTCAATGAGGCAAGAAAGCAAGAAGGAAACCTCTTTTACAAGGGGGGGGGTGGGGGGGAGGAGGAGAAGGGCAGAGCCAGATGACAAAGCTGAAGAGTAAAGCTGTAAATGATGATACCCATTCAGCAGAAAAAATTCTCTTCTCTGAAGTTTCCATCCTTAGAATATTAGTGGTTATAGATCTGTTGGAATGGAACCCTTTTCTGAGCTGGTTTTCTGATCTATTTTTGCTAGGTTAAATCCCCCTTCAACTCTGTCCACTCTTCAAAAATATCTGTAGACTCAGAGTTCGGGGAGTAATAGTTTCCTGAGAAAGTGTTTTGTGAGGTCAGTTATATGGAGAAAGCTATTCATTCTTTCATTTAACAAATATTTGTGTTGGCTCTGTGGAGGGAGGAATGATAAGCAGACGATGGATGAGATTGGCATTTGGGGAGGAGCAGACAAGTGATTTAATCAACCTGGAAATAAAGCCTGTGTGATTTAATTAAGTGCTCCGATGCTGACACCAAGTAATTTGTTTATTCCTCTGTATAGTCATGTAAACTTACCTTGTGTTCTTTGAAATTCTTTTAAAGAATGGGAAGTAGAGAATTCGCTTATTTGATAATACCTCTGGAATAATTATATGAGATACTTATCCTTTTTCATGTCAGCTACTTATTCTTTTGAATGTCACTTCTTTCTTGATGGATAGCTCAAGAAAACCAAGGCTGGCTTACATGTGTGGATTGATGGATACAGATTGTGATTTTCACAGCACTTTATTAACACTTGACTTCACTTAAAAACACAACTTATGGAAAGAGGAGACTGAGAAAGCATAAATGATTGAAATTCTCTGACATTCTCTAAACCACAGTATTGACACTGTCTGCCTCTTCCCCCCGGCCTATATGACAGACAGCGATTTACAAATAGGCTGAGTACTGTTTCACTGCCTTCTGCTCCCTGAGCTGCTGCTGCTGTTAATCAGCAAGAAAAAGGTGATGGCCTTTTTGATGATGACTAGGGACGTAAATAATCATCCTTGTAACACAATGACATCTTTAAGAATGCTTCAGATAGTATCTTACTGGTTCTATCTCAAGCAGGGGTCAGAACTCCAGAAATACTAGCTCATTTAGTCCTTGTAACAATTATTTGGGGTAGATACTGATATTACATCCCATTTTAAACACAAGGAAACTGAGGCACAGATAGGTTAGTTAGCTTTTCCAAGGTCACAGTGAGTGGTCACAAAAAGTCAGGATTTGAACCCCGAACTCTGGCTCCAGAGACTATACTCTCAGCCATTACACAATGATGCAATTGAGAGTTTATATCCCTCGTTACTTAAAAAGAAAAACCCCAAACAAAAATTCTAAGAGGACAAATTGCTGGTGTATTTGGTCTTTGTCTAGTCTCACCTACCCACTAATTGATAGTTAAAGTAATAACTCTAGTCTTTTGTAGTTAACTTTGACCCAAAGAGCATTAGGACATATTGTTTTGGAGAGCCCATTCTTGGAAAGGACATGTTTATGACTAGCAGAAAGCAGGATCTGGTTTGTACATTTTCCGGTGAGACAGTCGGTTTTCAGAAGCTGCCAAGGCCTCTAAAACAAAACCCAGGACAATGATCATACCAGAAATATGCAGAGGGCAGGAAATGACTAACTTCTCATGATCATCTGAGGAAAACTGGGAGGGCTTAATTGGTCACTCACATGCATTCTATCATTCCACCATATTTCTATTTATAACCTTGCATACCACCATCTTCGTGGTTGTTCATTATTGCTAAGGCCAAGCGGGAGGTTAAAGATAATGATAGGGTAAATTCAGTTCATTTATATTGTCAACATTAGTTGGCTTGTCTGCAGTACTTCCCTTGAAAATCTCCAGCTTCACTTCACCACTCCTTTCCCCTGACACACACACACACACACACACACACACACACACAATGTGATAGATTGAGAGAAGAAAATGTCACAGTATATTGCAGCTTCTCCCATCAAGAGATGGATTCAATTTTTTGGTGAAATCTAGGCTTGGCTACGTAACTTGCTTTGTCCAATGGGACATTAGTAAATGGGTTGCAAACAGAGCCTTGAAAAATACATTGCACTGGGACTTACCTTGTTGCTGAGAGCTCTTCTGCCATCATGTGAACAAGCCCAGGATAGCCTGCTGGATAATGAATGACATGTGGCCAATTCATCCTGTCACCCCAGCTGATATCAAACCAAGTGCCAGACATGTGAGAGAACTGCACCCCCTACTCCTCCCCACCCGCCAACCAAACAGCCTACCAACCACCAGATAATTGAGTGAGGCCGTCCTAGACCATCCAGTCCCAGCTTAGCAGGCCTGGGCAAACAAAAGGCCCATTTGACCAGCAGAATTGTGAGCAAATAAAATGATTGCTGTTTGTGGATGGTTAATAATACAGCAAAAGTTAACTGACACCCATCTTTACCTACTCACATGGCTATTTGAGAACCTGCTTTTTCTTACGTAATTCTCTCTCCCTCCCTCCCTTTCCTCACTCAGCCATAGTTGATTGGCTCAGGGATAGTGATTGACCCAAGTTTTGCCAGTCAGATTCCATCCCTGGGATTTTTCTTTCTTTTTTTTTTTTTGTGAG